ATAACTCAAAGATTAACCTCTCTGACACAGATTATTCAACTGCAGCTGGCAGAAGCAGTAAACATCCTGAGCTTTAGGCAAATAGACAATCCAAGGAATACCTAGTCTGGTTACAGCCGAACAGCTCTCTGCAGATCACAAAAACAATATGGACACTTACTGCATATAGCAAGATCTACAGATATAACGAATATGATCATGAGGGCTTACAATCTAAAAGGGAGGGGGAAGTGATACATGAGGACGTAGCTGCGTGGGGATGAATTGTTTGAGAATGTGATGGTTGAGTGGTTAGGTTGAGGTGGGATAGGCTTCCCTGAAGAGATAAGTCTTTAGGGATATTCTAAAGGCAGTCAAAGTGGGAGATAGATAGACAGACAGGTTGGGGTAAAGAGTTCCAGAGGATGGGAGAGACTCTAGAGAAGTCCTGGAGGCGAGTATGAGAGAAGTTGACAAGGGATCTGGAAAGCAGGAGGTCTTGGGAGGAGAAGAGGGGACGGTTAGTATGATACTTTGAGACAAGGTTTAAGATATAGCCGGGGGCAGAGTTGTGGATGGCTTTGTAAGTGGTTAATATATTTTGAATTTTATCCTTTGGGCGAGTATCACATGTATTAACCTGATCCAGCCATCAGAGTGCAATATTCTTCAAAGTAGTGAAAATGCTAGCTTATATGCGTGGAGTCATTCCATAGCATGCCACTAAAACCTAAAAAGTCCTATTTGTACTGGCCAGGCAGATAAAGTGTCTGCCATATGGCAACCCTTGCTGTGGGCAACATGACATTGTTATTGGAAAAGCATAGCGGCCACTTTTTTCTTCCTGTCTGTATTAGAAGTATGTTCTTTGAACTTGGTTGTGGGTGTTGGCAAATTGCTTGAAACAGCAATTTTAAGTCCCTGATGTACTGGTCCTCATGTTTATATGCTCTCGTGTACCAGCTTAGAGACTTTATTAAAATCAACTTGATATGTCAAATGAAGTCATATTATTGCATTATCCAGCCATACCATCAGAATATTTCTCATTAATCATAGCAGCTGCTTTGATCTGCAGTACTTGTAAATATTTATTGCCGGCAAATTGGGCTTCTAAATGAGGGAAAACATGTGGCATCCCATAACCTCACACCATATGCCCGCAAATAAACCAAATTCCATTTCTCAGTAATTCTGGGTTTTTGTTAAAGGGAAACTGTCAGGATCAAAATATGGTAGCTGCCATTGCTGACTTGTGTTGGGATGCTGCAATTCAGGTCTACAACTTGTATCCCATTTTCCTGATTTGCATGGACAAGATAGACTATTGGGCTGGCCATACACTATACTGTGGGCTGAACGAGGCAAAAAGGCTTCATGGGAATGTGGATAGGGAAGTCCTCCCCGCCAAGTTATTTTTTCCTGTTAGCAGCTGGTGTGCCACTGTCAGAACACCTGAACCTGGCTTCAGCTGAACCCAGAATTTTTAGACTGGCTCCTTCAACAAAAGTTGACTGCAAAATCCAATCCTGAATCGAAATTCAAGAAGTGGATGGGCAGCTTTAGAATCCAGGGGAAATCCTTAATAGTAGCGGTATAGTTTAGTATATTTTAATAATTGTTCTTTGCATTGATGTTTTTTTTCTTGAAGGACATGGCAGAATTTTCCACCAGACTATTTTCCTAGGTACACTGGAGGCCAGAGCAGAATAGCTGCAAACAGATTTTCAGAAAGACATTTTTTTGTCATTGGACTTTGAGAATGAACCAATATCCCTCGCATTAAAGCACATGCAGGCGTACCGCATGGATATTTTTGCATGACAAGCTGCACAAACTTTGCTCTGCTCCTGCAATCTGCTCAAGCATCATACCTGACTACCCACCTCAAGTCTTGAACAGTGTATGCATAATCAGGGTCACATGCACTGCCAACCTCAGACTACATATCACATGATGCATTACGCTGGTGTAATGCGCATGCCTGCCTGATGTTTTTCATTATACATTAGTACCTCCTACAAATTACAGCAGCATAAGAGTGGCAGCAGAAACATGAACTGCTGCGTGGGCTGTCATATGATCAACCTGCTGATGTAATTTCTTTAAAGTCTTACGTGGCGTTGCTTCCCGCATGGCACATATTATTGCAGTCCCATAAAATGCAATAGAGGGTAGCAAGGCTAGACCTACAGAAAGACCATGAAGGGCGAGCAGAGCCATCCTCATACTGGATGTCTAGTACCTGGTAGAGACCAAATTGATAAGGGGGCGTCTCTAGCACCTCTCTTATATCAGCTCTGGAATTGGTAAAAGGAAGTGTGAGGAAGCAGAATGGCATGAGTGACTGCACTGGAACTGAGCAGTAATCGGATGCATGGACCATATATCAGGGCAGGGACTTGAGAGAGGAACACAGGAGGGTACGATAGCAGGACACAGGAACATAGCCGAGACACAAGCCGAGGTTGGTATCTGCCAGTCAGTGAGGTCCAAGGTGGAAGGCAGTAATCAGAGTCCAAAAGGCAGGCTGAGGTCACTAGGGTAGGCAGAGATACAGAGGCAAGTCAGGTCGCAGAATAAGCGGGTCAGGTCACATGTAATCAAGAGCTGAGTGAAGACCACTCAGCAATCTCTCTGATGTCATGCTCCAGTTTATATAGGCCATTTGGTACCAAGCGCGCATGCACATTAATGCATGTGATCCTGTGCACGTGACCATGAACATGTGCTCAAGTCTTCACTGGTCTTCTTGAACTGGAATGCACTGAACTTTCGCTACACAGCAACTGCAATAGCAGGATTTTAAACATAAATTATCCTTAGAATGGAAAACACATGGGGAAAGTCAAATACATATTAGTAGACCTGAGCAGGTAATGCAAATTATATTGATTTTTGTCATTTGGGTTTAGTAACGTTTAACAGTGTCACAGAAGAACTGCAGGGAGCACTGCCTGCATCTTAAATGCCCCCTAAACAAAACTCCACTGTAATTTCAGAGAAACAGCCCTCTCTGCGTGAAGACGTCGGCTGCACGTATAGCGAACCTGCTGGATCAGAGCTAAAAGCATGGGAGAGCTTTGTTTGTTCTGCACCAAAACTATTTTTAACTGTTCTATTGTGAAGCTTCATCGGGAGAAAAAGTTTAGGCAACCCAGGTCAAGTCACAGCTTTTATTGATTTTCTTAAACGTTAGCACAACAGTGGCAGGAAACACACTTGAACATAACCTATTCCTGCAAATTCTAGAGCTATTCATTCTTGGAATTTAACAAATTAGGGGGGGGGGGGGGAGAAAAAATCATTAAAAAAAATAGGTTTTTAACATTAATGTTACTTTATGTTACTTTACTCATACACCTGCTCAAACATAAATGCATACATGCAATAGGTTGGACTTGATGGACTTATGTCTTTATTCAACCTCAAATACTATGTAACTATGTATGTAGACTTATGCAAAAGGCAGAGAGCCAATCATAGAAGAGGGAATGAGATTTCTGGGATGATAGGGTAATAGGTCGTAGGGAATTTTTCCAAGACGGCTATTTTGTCCTAGATTGTTCACTTCTCCTGCGTTCTGCAAATCCTTCACCCTTTTGGGAATAGACCTGTTTGTTATGTTTTCCCATTCAGGCAGCATATCTAAACACAACATATTTCTTACCCTTTTAGTTGTTTGTTTGGAGCAGGATTATACATAGGACTCTATAGGCAGCTTCTATTGGGAGATAATGGAGGTGTAGTAACCCCAACCAATTAATTATTTGATCTGATCTAAGTCCAGTAGATGTTACTGCATTTTGCTGTGTTATTAAGATCTTTTCACAAACTTTTATTGTTTTCAAATAAGCATATAAACAGAACTCAATGCCAAAGTGTAAAATAGAGCTGACACAGCAGCCAGAAATTTTCATTAGGGTTAAGGATCAGTAGGCGGTGTGCATAATAAACAAACTGGGTGGTTCATTATAGTAAGCTTAAGTACTAACAAACCATTTAGAGGGAACCTTCCGATGAGGGTCGTTTTTGCTGAGGACCGTAATCCGGTTCTACAACCTATTTTTGAATGGTGACTGGGTGGCTGATCCCAGTAATCAGTAATTGTGTGGAGGCCAATAGGGTGGGGGAGGGGACAGGGAGTACCGCATGAGGGCAGTTGGGGTACGAAAAGACCAGTGTAACTTGGGGATTAGGCAGGGGGGGAAAAGTGCAGAGCAGACAGAGACTCTATTAGAGTTCTGCGCTATCTGCGCATGCGCCAACGGCGCGTCATCGCGCTAACCTGGCCATGCGCAGGCAAGTCATTCCAACAAAGCGGAAACGCGCCAAGGAGGCGCACAGGAAGTGACCTAACTTACTCATTACTTCCCCTATATAAGCCCAGCCTGAACACTACCAGATTGCTGGATTATCGTCAGCTTCTCCTTGTTCCTGTGCTTCTGTGATATACTGTTTGACTTGTTGTGACCCGGAATTGACGTGACTACTCTTGCCTGCTGCCGGCCCTTTGCCTCTGATTCGTTTATTGGACTTCTCTTTTGCTTAACCCTTCTGTACTTCATTTGCCCGATTGGAACTGACCCCGGCGAGTGTACTTGGATTTCGGCTTGCATGGTGCTCCTCACCACTGGCACTCGTGCCACTCGGTGTCCGCCGGGTCTCTGTACCCATCCCCAGAGGCCTCAGGACCCGAGGTGCAAGGGAGGCCTCCTCACACTTACAGTCTCAACTCAGGTACGTGACAGCCTCACGTAGGTCGGGTGGGCTTCCCTCTTTCCCCTCCCCAATTAAATCGTTAACTGGGCTGGCTCAAAGTGTAGTGGACTGGCGTAGGAGATCCAAGCTCTCCATATCCTCTCACATTTGGTGTAAGAATCAGTCAAGATTACTTATTAATTACTTATTAATTACTTATTAATTAATCATTGCATCAGTGACACGATTTTTAAGGTAGCCAAGCACAGGGGATTTCCAGGATCTCTGTTATTAAGATCTTAATGTTGTTCTTTTCACAGCCGTGAAGTCACTGCATACTTTAAATGACCAGATATCCCATTTTATTGTGGCCCAACCATCCCCTCTAGAGGACAATGAAGACATCTTCCACCCAGCTGAAAAGGAAACTTTAAAGAAGTCTATGATACTTATGAGGCAACTCTTACTGGAAGCCCAGGTGAGCAATCATATTTCTGCTAGCAAATTTGTTGGGTAAAAACTGCCTTATTCTTTAATATAGGGCCAGCTTATGGGGTAAATAATATCTATCTATCTATATATCTATCTATCTATCTTTCTATCTTATGCATCTATTTTGCATATGTGTAGAACATCCTCAAAACAGACCTTTACTTTCCTTTAAAAAAAGAGAAGTTTGGGGATTGGTGAGGATGTAGAGAAGAGATCAGTAGTGTCCACTTTCATGGCCTCACACCTCTTGGCACGGGTCCTGGTGCACTCCCTTGTTGGAAACTAAAACCCTTTTGAGCATTTTTTGAGGTTGTCAGCAGGTTTCCCAGGAGGGTGTCATGGATTGAGTATAGGAAGCATGCTAAAGTTAGCTTCAGTGGAAAAGAGTGCGATGTGCCATCAGCAGATCAGGAACATGCAGATGGTACTAGCGACCCCTTCAGCTCACTTCATGAAAACCACAATCTTTAATTTTTTTAAAAGCACCCGAAGGTCAGGTATTACTGGTGCCTGCACTCCTATGTGATCCATCTGGCTCCTGGGGTTGTTACTGGCGCTGGGGTGGAGCTCACATGTAATATATCTCTGATACATTGGGCTTAATGTCCCTGCGGAAATCCAGTCTTCCCTTTGCTGCACAATAAAGCCACCAAAAAAAAGCAAAATTTTGTATTTTGTATGGGGCCCCCGTGATGTCTAGTTATACCCCTTGCAGAGCTCACTTGAGATTCCACACAACCCACCTGAGGGTGACCCTGCAGAGCCCACTATAGACAGTCTACGGTGGGCTCTGCAGGGTCACCCTCAGGTGGGCTGGTCGCACTCCTTACCTGTCCGCCTCCTCTTCCTCCACCGTCGCTGATGGGCCCCGCCTCCTCCTCCATCGCCGGACCCGCCTCCTTCTCCATCGCCATGCCCTGCCTCCAACCAAGGGCCCGCCTCCTCCACGGCCGGGTCCAGCTTGCTCCACCGCTGCTGATGGCTCTCATTGACTCTGTGGAGAGGAACGCGCTGCTGCACAGATTACTGTCAGTGATCTGAACAGCAGCGCATTCTTCTTCACAGCCGCCAGTGAAAGCCACCAGCAGAGGATGCCATAGCGACCCAGGCGGCACGCACGGCATCTGGCCGGGCCCCACTGTTCCCCGGGACCCATAGCGGCCGGCTGGGTCGCTATGGTGATTGTTGCGCCACTGGTTCCAGGACTTTATTACACCACAAAATCCTAAAAGCAGATGGTATTTTTTTTTTGTTCAGTACATAAAGTATTTAACTACAAATAACAGGGGCAAGAATCTAATTTATATTGTTGCTTTCTGCTTTTTTTTAGTGAAACGCAATTTATTAGACAGTCTTTAAGCCGTGTCAAATGAGAGTTAAAAAAAAAAAACACTTTAGATCAAAAAGTAGGTTTTTTTATTGTCACTTTCAAATGCTTCTTTCATAAATAAAATCAGTAAGATGTCATGCCGCAATTGAAGGTGTACAATATATCACAGTGTACTGATTGCCTGAAATGGAAGCACAAGGACAAAACACAATAGTAAAATAGATGAAGGGGAAGTCAATACAGCAGTAAGTTATTTTTGTGCTATGGATTAGACTTTGCGATTACCAGGGGTCATAGCAGAAGTGGGGGCCCAGCCAACACTGGTTTTTAGGGGTCCAAGTACTACAGACAACTGAAAAACTGCTGTAACACCATCAGACCGCCCAAAATAAACATCACTGGTATAGAAGCCTCCGGATTTTAAGAACCGGTTTACAGGCAGGAGCCAAAGATGGTTTATCAAACACAACCTTGTTATGTAGAAGCATCTACAATTACTACACTTTAAAGTATATCTAGAGCCAAAACTTTTAAAGAGAGGGCTAGAACCCCCACCACTAGTATGTTTATATTGCTCATGTACAGAAAGGAAAATATCAGAAACATTTTTATTAAGTCCAGCAATAGTTTTTTATTAAAACACACAATCAGCTTAAGCTAACAGATTCACAGCATCCCCCTCCATCAGGACTAGGTGAATGTTCTAAGATAAGAGTACAAACTAGATTAATATGTTTAGAATGTTCCTTGAGGATAGATCAGAGTGTCGGTGATTCAGCAAGCATCTGCATAAGAAGGTGGTTTAATCAGCCTAAACCAATTCCTAAAGCATATGTCTGCTGAATTACTAAATCACTTCTTCTCTGACAACATTCACCAAGCAATGATGAATAGCCATGATTCACCACTACTATGGGCTCAAGGTGAATCCTGGGGGTTCAAGATTCGCCGTGGCAGCAAATTTTGCATGTTTGACCAGGAGACTTTTAAAAACTATAATCAGCTTTGTGGACTTTGAACTATGGAGAGCAGGCCTTAAAGGGCCAATAAGGGGGCTAAGGATAAGCCAGCCCCTTTGTTATAAAAGGAGGGGGGGTGCAAAGATTGGCCATTGTCGGTATATTGGAAGCTGCTGTAGGAAAAGGATACGGAAAGCTGACAAACTGCATAGGGAGAGGTTAAGATCAGTTAGGAAACTGTTTTTTTTATTCTGATTGCTAGCTCTTTGAGCAATCTACCCCTTTGCTGCTTTTTATTATTAGGGGCTTTTTGTCTTTAATTGTATTTTGTGGTTGATTTGAGGTCAGAGGTAACTTTTAGCTGCTGTCCTGGGGTTCACAAAGAATAAGATTCACCAATTTTTTTCTCATTAGAAATGCAGTTTGCACCTAAACCACCTTACATTATATCACTCACATTCAACACACCCTACATCCTCATAGATAAAATAAAAGTTGGGCATACACCAGTTAGAACTATTATCCCTGATTTAAAAAAAAAACTGTCCTGTTGCTGGCCAATTTTACACTGCTTTTTCATCTGCGGTCTCTTAATTCTTAATGGGAGTTTGATAGAAATTGGCCAGTTGCAGGACAGTTTTGCTTCAGCTCAGGGGCAGCCTTAGCAAATTACTGGCCAATTGCTATTTGCCGGTCAAAGCGGGTCTATTACCGCTTGATGATAAAGCATGAGAATCCCTTTTTCAAAAACTGAATTAGATTGGGGTGTCTGAATGAGATGTTAGATTAGTCAAACTGAAAGTTTAAAAAAAAAACATTCACAGTCAAATATGCACTGCCAATGTTTGATGTCACTGAGACTGTTCGTAAAAATCATACTGTTCTGTAACACCATGTACAGCTTTAGGACATCCCCCAAGCATGGTATTAGGATTGGCTGCCCCCAAAGCCATATAAAATGCCTTTCTCTTACAATCCAGTTGTAAGGTCTTCTGCTATGTTCGTGGTTTTGTATGCTCAGTGTGGATTGTATTTGCAATCAGATGTTTTGGGTTAACTGGAACACAGATCAGATGAAGAGAAATATTTTGTTACTTAAATCAAACTGTAACACAAGAGGTTTACTTCCACATTTTGTTTTTCAATTTGTAACAGTAACTGGCAAGCGCTGCTCAACTTGTCACATTGCTGGTTCGGGGCCAGTAGTTGTGTTTGTGGTATACAACATACAAAATCATCTTAAAAAGTAGAACTGAAGCCAAATCCCTTTTATAGTTTTGGAAAGAGTAAGGGAGGGTTATAACCCCTGCCAACTTTTTTGCCATCTGTGCCCTATGGGGAGATTTCCTTTCACGTCCTGTCTGATTGCCATAACAGGAAGTAAGAGGAAATACTTCCTAAGTAAGGGGAAATACCTAGTGGTCCTCAGGGTCACCATTGGAAGATTTCCCATCTATTTCTATTCTGGTGACAACCCAAAATCAGTTATTTTCTTTCACTATCAGTTATAACAGTCACCAGGACAAATAGAGAGGATGAATCTTAATAACAGGGACACAGACAGTAATAATAACCTGACAAGGGTTCTAATCCCTCAGCGCTCTATCTAGCACAGAACAAAATTGGCTTTAGTTTAATTTTAAGCAGACCTTGCACTTAAAGAAGTGCTTTCCTGTGCTTCCCTCATAACAGGTGCTCTTTAAGGGGGAAACAAGCTACTACAAAGAGCTGTCTACAGCAATCAATCAGATTTTTCAGACAGTCATTTTTCTAGTGCAGAACAGAAACAAATGCCTATATATAAAGAATATCTGTACTCAGGGCTGGATTTCCCACAAGGCCAACCGAGGCTCAGCCTCGGGGCAGCAGGGAGTGGAGAGGCAGCAAGCATGTAGAATTCCTGTCTCCCGATGCACGGGACATGCAGTTCTGGGCGCTGGGCAGGTAGTTGTTTTTTTACTTTTAACTAAATGTAAAGCGGGGAAGCTGCCGCTTATTTTGTACAAGTGATCTCGGCGATGTCACTGAGATCACTTGTATGCGGCCTGCATACAGGGGTATCAAGATGTATCCTGCTGCAATCCTTACTGGGTTCAAATTAAAAAACCTGTACAGTTCAGGTGGGTGCTCGGAATGACCACGGATGGCACCGTGAAATAGCATAAAGTTCAGAAATGTCACCAGCACTCCAATTCAAACATGAAAAAGATCCATTTAATGACACAGATTTGTCATACAGGGTGGCGCATTAAGGAACCTGGCCTTGCAGCACCAGAGAGAGTAAATCCGGCCCTGTCTGTACTGAGAAAATATGTACGCTACCATTGTTGGACGTCCCCTCTGAAAATGATATTGCCGTGGCTGTTATGTTGATCCAAAGGCTCAAATTATTTCTGAGTCACTGACCCAAAACTAGTTATAGATCAGCAGAATAGATGATCAGCATCCATATTTTTCCCGATAACAATGGGGAAGCATTGACTTTGATGGTCTACAAATTAGCCCCTGAGATCTGATTGGTTACCATAGGCAATGCAATTAGTATTCCCTGGCTCTAACTAAATTCCAGTAGGACATACATGTAAAAAAAGATATAAAATTAGAAGAAAGGTCTTGTAAAAGGCATTATAAATATTTATTTTCATTACTAAAAGTCCTCCTTAAGGATGTTCTCTAAGTGATCATTCGGTATTCCGA